AGTGGAGAAGGGGGAAGGATGGGTAAGATCAGCACAGTGGGAGAGGTGAGGGAATATTTGGACAATGCTGTTATGAAAGTTTTTATTCTTTCAGTTAAAATCAATCATTATGTAGTTATATGTATTTTTCACTATATCGTATGTCAATAAGTTTAATAATAAAACATCCAACTTATTAAACTCTGAACTCTCATAAAATATATTTGCTAAGATCTCAAATATATAATAAAGCAGCTTAGATTTAATACGTTTTTAAAAACATATGGAAAGCTCATACTGCTTGCCACTTCGGAAAAAGCCCCCTCCTAAGTCTTCATTGTCTACATATCCCATGGTTAGCAGTGGAGATCAAAATATTAAGGGCCCTTTACACTCCACCCTTTCATGGTAGTGCGCCGCTGCATACACATTAATGTGTTGTATTAAAGCGGAAGTAAGCAGTACCTCCATCATCCCAACACTGTAGACTCTGCACTTTTCTGCCAGCCAGCAGCCCTACTACTAAACCCCTGACTCTGAACCTCCCTGCCTCCTAGCACTCTAGACTCTGCACCCAACACTCTAGACAGTTCACCTCTCTGTCACTCAGTTCCCCTAACACTGAACCCCTAGTTCTAAACTTCTTTGCCTCCCAGCATCCCTGCCACTAAACCTCACACCCATGACATTGCACCAAAACACTCCTGACACTGCTCCCCAACACCCCAGCCTACCAACAATCCTGACATTGCACCCAAAATCCCAGTCACCCCCCAATGCCCCTGATATTATCCCCTCATCACTCTAGAACCCACACCTTTTTGCCAGACAGCATCCTATCCTCCCTTCCCATGTCAGACAGTATATTTACCTGACTAATATTTACCACCACCCATGTCTTGGATCTTTGCTGCCTTAAAGACCTACATCAGTCAGAGAAATTAATCGTCAGACATCGTCAGGCTTGTGTTGGATGCCTGGTTTCCATCCACTAGTACTACAAGACACATTAGTGACAAAATGGCCAGTAGGAGCGATCACAGCATGCAGCAGAGGATGAGACTTTCATAACCCCTGGAAGTGTGGCAGATGATGAAGATACTTCAGCCAGCATAGCTCTTCAAAAGAGCGAAAGTCTGAGCCACAGGTGAGTAAGTATTCTTCTTTTACAAGGAGTCCTTTTATATTTTTTGTTGTTGTGTTTGTAACTAGGACTGGACAGTTATTATTGTAGAATGTGGCTTAGAATGGCAGGGCTATCACAGGAAGTATGTTTTCACTGACAGTAACACAAATAATTAAACTTTCTCCTCTCCTCTTCTAATCACAGAACGTCTTGTAGTCTTTGAGAAAATCACAAGGCATCTTGTGAATGGGCAAATAGGGAGAAGGGTTGGAGATGTGACTGGAGCACTTCACTGCTTGAGTCACATCCCTCACTCCCCATAGTGCCCAGAAGCAGAGTGTTACGTGTAGGTGCTGGCATGCTGCAAGGTAAGATTTTTGTACTTTGCAGCAGCCTTCCACACACAAGACACAGCTTTGTAATGATAATTTACACACTCTGTGCGGTGTGTAAATTATAATTTTTCCCAAAGTTTAGCTTTAAGTTTCTGAGGAGATTTTTCCTTAAAAAATCCTAAACTACCCCATGTTATATTGGGGGCAACAAGTTGTATAATCTTTAGTGTTTTTGTTGCACATAGTGCAATGGTCTATGGAAGGTCAAGACCTCCGACTGTCCAACCATTCTGAGATGGGATGATAATTCAGGAAGTTGTTGTTCTGAATGTTTTCAGGGTTCAGTTCCTTCCTTTATAATCAGTCCATCTTGGAAAAGAAAGAGCCTCACACAACCAAATGGCACTCTATTCACTTATGAAGCCATGGTCTTTACAACATGGAATAAGAACCCACATAAATAATATGACTCATTTCTCTTTTGTAGTCACAAAACCTCAACGATCCCTCTCAGCATAAGCATTTAGTTCAGCAAACTGCAACCTAAACAAATATTTTCTGCATGTAACACTGAATCATCCGAATATGGCGTCTTACTTACAAAAAACAATGTTTCCCAACCATTGGTATGCATACCCCAGGGGGTACTAATGTTGGATTCTGGGGGAACTCCTGCTTCTTATACTGAATTCATCATAACAGTTTAGAAACTTAGCAAATAATAAATCACACATAAAACAGATATCAGTAAATAGTTTAGCTATCTAAAAGCATAATGGTTCACATAGAAAACATTAGCAAAACATTAGGCTGTAATGGTAATACATATATCCATGTCTTGGGTTCCTTGAGATTAGGTGACCTAGATACGCATACTCTCTAGACATTAGTTTTTATAAACTGGTACATAAATAAAATGTAGAAAGACTGCATTAGCATAAACAAATGGTGCCAAATAGATTTTCCTTGGCACAAGTTGACCTAGCTATAGTAAAAGCTATTTTTTGATTACTGTATTTTGGTATTGTAGTATATATGTTCTGTATTTTGTGTGTCTAATATGCCAACTAACCCTACTGTGTTTATACTGTTTTGCACTATTTTGTTACACTTTGTATGCCCTTTCTGCATTTATAGAAATCATATATCATATCAATGTTATCATATTGTATCATATTCATCCATTGTGAATGATTTATACCTAAACTGTCAATAAAAAGATTTACTTTTTAACCACTTGCCGTCCGGTGTTTTTTTTTTAATTTCTGTAATTTTTCCTTAATATAGTAAAAAAATAAAAACCCCAGTGGTGAATAAATACCACCAAAAGAAAGCTCTATCTGTCCCCAAAAAATGGTATAAAATTCATTTCAGTACAGCGCTGCATGACGGAATAAATGTCAGTCAAAGTACCGCAGCGCTGAATACTGAAAAATGGCATGGATGGGAAGGGGGTTTAACACCGCGGATGTCAACTGGTTAAATTCAAAATATTTTGCAGATGAGCAAAACAAGAACTTAACCAAGGCTTGATCTATTTAGAGTGTTTAACAGTGTTTCACATAATGTGTAGACCCAAATTGATGGTCTGTTTGATTTAGCACCTTACTTAATACAGGACATAAGTCTTTTCATAATAAGAGATAAAGTCTGTGTTACACAAATATGCAGAAGAGAATGTTTAGACTTCTGGATTTAGCTGTGGATTCACATTGCCAAGCAATGAATTGCTTTCACAGGTATTAGATATCTTAAATGAAACCTGTTATCCAGAAGGTTCTGGAATGTGAAAAGACAAATAAAAGGCTAACAACTGCAACTTTTCAGTAAAAAAAGGCGTATACATTGCAGACACGTTCATCATGGTTTTTCTCCTGTAGTCTATATCTGCAGGACATCAAATTACACTTTTAACATGACTGGAAAGTATAGAAGACATTGGTGGACATTTTTAGAAATGTAAATTATCCTGGAACATTATCTGTAAATGCAAAACACTAATTTGCAAATCATCAAAAGCATGCTGGATAACAGATCCCATACCAGTGGTTAGATATTGGTTGTGATGTTATGCAACAGACTGCAAGTTTCCATGCTACTATCAGCAGGGCTGTATCCAGACATCATTTCTATCACAGGCTCATCTGAATGATACAAGCTCTGCCCCTTGTGTAATGCACTTATTTTAGTAAACACTACAACTAGAATGAGCTATCAGAGCCAACATACTGTTTACTTTTTATTCATAGCTACTGCTAAACTCTACAGACCACCCACCTAGAAAAATGAGAAATAGCTTCATGCTTCCTGATCAGATCAGTAAAGTACTGTTTAACTCCTCTCAGGATCTCTTGCACCCCCTGCTACAGTAGTCTGGATTTAGCCAAAAGTGTCCAGATGTGGCCAGAAGAGAAAAACAAGACAAATAAAATGACAAATTATGTAAATTTTGAGGCTTGATGCTGGTGCCCCCTTTAACACTGCTACACTAGTGCTGGCCTATTCATACGTCGAACCATTTGGATATGTGAAAGCACAAAGTATGTAGGCAAAGAGCATACCCCTGTCATATGAATCCACTAAAAGTGTTTGGTTAAACCCTCAAGTGCTTTTTTCACCACTACCTTTCCTAAAATTTTCAAAGTAACAACTGCAATTGTTAAGGAGTTGGAAGAAAGGTTTAGTGTACTATAACACCTTTGGCTGTTAAATAGTACTTCTTTTTTATAGCCATCTATACATCAGAACAAAAAAGAGGAACAACTATGGAGAAAAGCAGGACAGAGGTATTTGGTTCAGAAAGAGGGACAATCTCTCCAAATAAGGGCAGTTGGGAGCTATGGCCTAAACGGGACTTCATGCATTACAGATAGTACTTGTCAGTGAAAGACGTAAAAAGTTATGTAGTCATTATTTTTATTTTAATACTCATTTCCTGTCAACTATTTTTAACATGGATATAAACTCTTATTGGTTGTCCCCATACTATCATCACAACCAAGTTGGAATGCTGTTGGTAGTATTAAATATTACCCTTAGTCCACATACACTGACACAACTCAGTTTTATTTATACATATGTAACTGCACAGTGGTAACTAGGAACCCAGAACGCACTGTCACATTTGTCATTTATACTTAGGAGAGTGGATAGATAGATAGATAGATAGATAGATAGATAGATAGATAGATAGATAGATAGATAAATAGATAGATAGATAGTGCCCGATTCCTGGAAAATTCCTTAATATTACCCAGAAGTGTGGAGACAGTATAAGTGTATAGTGTAAGCCTGGGAAATTAGATGGCAGCTTTTGCATGCCAAAGGGGTTCCACAGTTACCTTGGACTGTAACTGGAATCAGTAGATCTAGGTGTAAGGTGCCACACCATAATATTACAGAAGAACTCCAGGAAATCAAAAAATTAACCCTTGCAGTGGGGCTGGAACAAAACGCAAGTCCAAGGGGACTAATGTTATACATATAATCTATAATTCAAATGATTATCTTAACCAATAGTCACATCTACTATCGTTTATTATATTTTAGTAATTACTTACCAATAGTACTGCATTCCATGCTGTGATTATTGTTTTCAAACCCATCTGGACATGTGTCAAGACACTTTCCACTGTGCAAATAAAAACCACCTTTACATTTCGTGCAGAAGCTTTTGTGGAAACATGTTTCACAGTCAGCTTTACATCCTAAAACCAAACAAAAGACTAGATCAGTCTTAAAGGGGAAACTGCAATGGAATTTTATTTACAGGTTTATAAACAGAGCAGTAGATCAGATGTGTCATGGGACTTGGATTTGGAATACTGACATACTATCAAAGGTTTATGATCAAAGGATAGAAAACAGTCTGTGTATTTTCCTTTTAAAACCTGTATAATTGAATGCTTGCCGCATCAGCTACACATGCACCCTTTTCCTTCTCTTCCCATCCACTTCATTTGGCCGATAGGAGCAAAGAAAAATACCTGTTATTGTAACCAGGTATAGGGGAGCATGTGACTCACTCACCTTCTTCCCATGTGACAGGCCTGGTGATTGGCCACACAGGAACACAGTGCTATCAAATGGGGCAGGGCCCTCTGGGTATCCTCTCATTTCGGCAGGAGAGCAAAGGGAAGGTGAGCATAAGCAGCTGCAAGGTCGATCATTAAAATGAATCTGTTAATTTATCCTGAGCGGACAAAGCACAGATTCCATTAAAGCATTCTATAGTTGTACTGCTTTTATTCTCATAGATTGCATGTGCTATGTCCTGAAATCCTGCCCACTGCTGACAATAATATCCAAAATAATGGTATATTTTTTTGCTGTTTATGCGCATAATCACATTGCTTAGAAATGTCTTTGGAAGCGTAACAACTTCAGAAAATTGTTTATTATCATTTATATACGTGTTACTTACTTTTACACTCATTAATTCCTGGAGAGCGTATTCCGTAGTATCCATTTGGACAGGATGAAAGACAAACCCCAACTTGCTTCATACCATTCCTTACTAGAGCAAAAAACAGTCTTGGTTTACATGTTATGCAGCCATTGTAATCGGAACATGTGGCACATCCCCCTTGGCAACCTTGGCTCACATTTGGATGCACTAAGAAAGATAAAAAAGATGATTTATTAATTTACTTCTAGTGCTTCAATACTACAAACAAATTCATACTTAATATTACAGGTTTAGTTTAAAATATGTTTTATACCACATATAACAGACAATATACCATATAATATGACCATATGAGACATATTATGTTAATCAAATCCTGCGTATATGCTCATGCGGTAAGAAAATAAAAAAAAGTCTGTGGCTCAACAGTAATATTTTAATGCCATTATATCCAACAGCCAACAACAATAAAGATACGTGAAGATGAGTGAAATTATTGTGCAAATCCTTACAGCAAGCTCTACATTTATTCATGTTAATGTTTAAATTATGTGCATCGTTTTGTGAATTTTTCCCATTGGTCAAAATAAGCTTTTTGTTATTTTAAAAGGCCAGAAAGTGACTTAAATGTTATCATTGGATATACACATTGAGCCCTGCAGAAGGCCAGGGCAGCAATGGGCTCCAGTTTAGGAAATATACTAATGCTCCTCCACAGCAGTGTTCCTGATATTTGGACAAGGGCCGCTTTACTGTCTAGCATACAGTACTGGTAAATTGCTTGGACTTCCAGTCATCACACCTCGGCCTAAAATATAAATAGGCACAGGATCCACTGCAGTTGTTATAGTGTAAATAAGTGTTAGCAGAAATTTTTATAAATGTACACTTTTATTACACAATAATCCCTCATCTGGAAACTAGACGCTTAGTAATAAAATACATTGATAAGTATACCACCACACACAATGGGGTTGATTTACTCAAGGCAAATAGACTGTTCACTTTTCAAGGGAATTTTTACTTTGCAAGGAATTTTTACTTTTGCTTAGTGAATGTGGTTAAAGTTCACTTTGCAAAGAATACCTAATCACATACAAGGAAATTATTTTTTTAAAAACAGTATTTTGCACATGATTGACTGATGGAAGTCAGCAGAGCTTTATCTCATTCACTAAACTAAGTGAAAATTCCCTTGCAAAGGGAACAGCCTATTTACCTTTAGTAAATCAACCCCACTGATTTTCTAATTGCCCTTTCCATATTAAAAATGAAACAGGCTCCTTCCCTTAACATTCAGCCCTTTAAGCTTGGTTATTGCTCTGTCAGGACTGTGAAAACTTTACATCACCTACAGCGCATAGCCATATTATGTGAATAAAAATTCCTGGTTAATTCAGTACAATAGTTAGTTGGTGGAAGGTGGAGTTGGAACTTGGAAACCAGTATTTGTGGTGAAATGCAGAATGCCAGTCTCAGCTGATAGTTTGAAAGCCAGTTTTATTTGATGGGCATCATTTATCTTGTCCAGATAGTTAGATTGTATATTAATGTGGACCTTGGATTCACATCTGCATATATTTATGTATTCATTCTAGTTCCTTTATGTGTGCTGCCTTGATCATACATTATCACAGCATGCTACTGATTTCTCTTGCCTATTTGACTTAATCAGTTGTTTCTTCAAACTATGAATCCTGAACGATGATGGATGCCAAGGGGCTGCCCAGCTCCCTTTGCCATAACTAAGGTGAGTGGGTTTTCCCTTTCCTCTATGTTATTTGAAATAACTTTACCAAAATTTTATTTTATCTTATTTTATAAGGAATAGTTAAAACCCCAGTGATTTTTTTTGCCATCTGTACCCCATGATACAACAGAAAGTAAGAGGAAAGCTTCCTAAAAATGTGTTGTTAGACAGCTGTCATTGGAAAAAGTGTGCCCATTGGAAGATTTCTCTTCTGTTCTGGTGACAATCAAAGTTTTGGATTTTCCTTCAATTTAAGTCATGGTAACGGTAGTTACCAGGAGAGTGAATCTGCAAAATGGACACACAGATAACAATAAAAGCCTAAACCAAACCCTCATCAATCTATCAAAAACAAGTTTTGGCTTTAGATTCACTTTAATATCTAACAATAAAGTCAGTCACTCTTACTTCTTTTCTTATATTAATTTTCTCATAAATGAAAAATAAAGACAGCTGACATTTCACATCCAACAGTATCCAGCTACACATCAGTAAAGGAATGTGATTTAGTAAAGAATGTAAACTGCTCAAAAGTTCACATTGATTGCAGGGAGCTTGTGGTTACAAGCAAATTACAATGGGGTATTTCCAAAAAAACTTGTCTATGCCTCATTAGAGTGAAAAAGAAAACTGTGAAAAAATTGTCACTTTGCATCACTCAAATTCCCAACATATTCCAAGCAGAAGTGATTGATGACACTAAAAAGATAACAGTTTGTAAAAGGACTGCTTGAGAATTTAGCAGAATCACAGTTTGAAATTGAGTTAAACAACTTGACAGCATTAAAAATTGGAAGGGGTTATATCACCTGAAATAATGGAACTCACAGCTTTCTGCATTTATAATTCTTGGCTCAATAGGTGATCTAAAAATGAAATCATACTATATAGAAAGTGGAATAGTTCATAAAAAATAAAAATAACTAATAATAAGTAATAATAGCTTTCTCTCTTACCTGAAAGTGATAGAAATCACTCATTTGTTGTGAGTGCAGAGAAAAGTACTGTCCTTTAGAGCCCCCCACATTAGCTCAAGTTGGGATTGTAAAAATTGACCTGAGTTCAGTACAAGTGTTTTCCATGAGCACCTTACCTCCATCAAAAACATTCACTTAGCAACAGGTTCAACCATTGGATTAAAAGGTATTGTGTTCTATCACTATCCTGGCACTATCCTGGCAGAGCAAGGATGTAACACATCGCCTTTACCTCCATAGCTTCCTTGAACAAAAAAGCTGGGAATTTTTTTTTCACCTGAATTAAGGGATTATGGGTCTTGCTCATGCTACTATTGTCTACACATTTTGCCTTATATTTGTGGCAAATATTTTTTTTTAAAGTTTTTAAAGTTGATAAACTTGTGACTGTTTTATATTGCTAAAGTGTTCTTAAAGAGAAGCAAAAACAGAATGAGAAGGATGCATGTAAGTTGATCCCTCTTTTTCTTGCAAACTATTAGCTATCCTGTGTTTGGCTAATTTTTGTATACACTAAATCCTGCCTTACCTCTTCTTCCTAGATGATTATGCTACAATGGAGCACGTTTATTAGTGCAGTGGAATTTTTACCTTTTGAGTTCAATCCAATTTGAGAGATAATTCCCCTTTACAAAAACGTTGGTAATGGTTGTTAAAGTGCAGGCACAAAACAGATGTACAGCGCATAACACGATGTTAAGTAAAGTGTTCATAGGTTTGCCAAAAATATTATGCCAACTGCACAAAGTTCATGAAACTAGCTGAAATATCAATTAGAGTTGTTTTAAGTAACATTATAGTGAAGGAAACCTGTAAGTCATACCTCCCAACTTTCTGAGATGTGACCTTCCAGCACAATGTATTTAGGCAATGGACACACCTATGTCGTGCCCCCAGTTATACATATAATTAAGAATGTATATACCAAAATTGATTGGTTAAACCCAGAACTGCCTTTTTTTCACCAATACTTTTCCTATATACTGGTTTTTCAAAATAGCAAACTGGATACTTAAGAGATAGGATGAAGGTTTAGTGGACAATAACACTGTTTGTAGTTAAATCAAACCTTTTCATAACTGTAAATAAGACCAAAAAAGAGGGTCAACTGAGCAGGAAAGAGGGACAGAGGGATTTTGTTCCAAATGATGGACATTTGGGACTACCAGGCAACTAACATGTTGTTGCCTGGCAGGCCCCTCGTATTTCTCCCAGTGCAAGTTTCTTTACTGAGATAGATATGAAGGCTGTCATTGCTGACGTATTAATGACCATGCTAGCTGTCTGGCTGTCTCTGCCTTTAATATTTTGAGTCACTGAATTTAAACAAGCAAATGGCCAGTTTAACCAAAGTGAAATCAGTATTCTTGTTCCAGATTGGGGACTTGGAAACATCTGAAACCACTGGATAAGCATGCCAGCATTCTTCCAGAAGAAGAGATAAGTAATGGTAGGTGTGTTTTGCCAAATGTACTCTAGTGTAACCTACTATAATCTCCATATCATATTACATCATCTTGATAAAGATTGACTGAGCTCCATCGAAACATTGACAATAAAATGCTGATGCTTTGACTTATCGCCACTGTAAGACCCGTATGCCTCATTAGATTGATGAATACCTTTGTACCTATTTTTGATATATATATATAGATAACTATATATATATATATCTATATATATATATACTGTATATAA